TGTTTACGTACCTCGTGTTTGTGGACGTACGTGCGATCCTACGCGTGTGATTAACCACTGTCGCGAATATACGACTGCTATCGAACGCTTCTGTCGAGGATGATTGTGAAGAGAACTTGTCATCGTTCTTTAGAAATATGAAAATCTCGCATTCAAATAAATCACTGAAATCATAAGCTGGAATGTTATAAATTTATTGTATCAATATATGTTTAACATTACCACAAAAATATGGAGTTATTCGTAAATCACATCAACAAGAGTTATTTCATAGAAATGCAGATACCGTAGAAACTTATCGAAATAATAGGAACAGTTGGTTCGAAAGTACTTGTATCTTTGCCTAGCAAATGAATATCACTTCACAATTGAATTCTCTATTTTACATTGAAATAAAAACTGTAAATGTATACATAAATCAAGGTTTTTGCTACAAAGTTAGAGAATTGTCTGGGCTATTTAATTATCGTATCTCTAAGGAACTGTCTTTGTTGGAATCTTTCATGAATATTCAATAACAGTATGTTAGAGTCTCCTCCTCGGCGACAATAGCTAACGGCACAAACAAATATATATACTCTTACGCAAATTGAACTTAATTATTGGACAGAGGAATGAAACACAATGAGATAAGTAGGCGGTGATGCCTGTAATACGGTACATACACATTCATTGTATGCTCACGACGCGCTTAAGAAGCAGAAGTTTAAACGTCGCGGGTCAAGGAAGAAAGAAGATATTAATTAACTGGCGGTGAAGTAAGAAATCACAAGTCACATTTCAACTTTAATGAACCCACGTTTTATTTAGACAATTACGTGTTTGGTAATAAGAGAGAAAGGCAAGCATCGTTACTTGCACTGCTGGTAGAAAGCTTTATTTCAATATTTCATACGCTGTTCCCATAATAAATGTGCATAGAAAGCGTTCCTGTCTTTGCAAGGTTGCGACAGACGTGTGAATCATCTAATCTTTGTAATACATATGGTATGTTCTCTATTACGTGAATAAACAATATTAAGAATTTACGGATGGTGAATGGCGAGATTAAAATTCATATTGTACAGTTACTTCGCGAATCACTAAGTAACAAAGTTCAGCTTTATTGAATAAAACAAATTCGATCGAATTTCTTTTACGTGCCATGAATCCCGTTTCCGCGCGGACCAAAATTCTCTCTCTCTAGCTAGGAACACTTAACGATCGCAATTGCAGCGAATATTGAAACGTTCGTTCGAAGCGAGGCGCGTAAATCGGCCGTCGTAAGTCTGCCCGGACTCGTGCAATCCGCAAAGTTCCAGCAACGGAAGCCTGTAGAATAGAATTTCGCGCAGGAATTCCATTTTACGCTGCACTCGCCGCAACCCTGGGGCTGATTCGATTCGGTTCGAAGCAATTCATTTTATCATCCCGACCGAGCAAATAATTTTCCACCTCGGCCGAAAAACAATTACGAAATCAAATGCCACGAATTGTCACCGGCACCTCGAAACATTGTAAAACCCGCGATTTATCTCAACAATCAGCAAATCTCAACAATTTTTCTAGACCAAGCTGAAGGTGTTGCGTATGAAATTCCGAATTTCAAAGAAATAATTTACGATTTTATGACGTTGTTATAAACGAATGCTTTTAGTCGGAATTATTACCAACGAATTTGACACAATTTTGTTGGGGAGATTGCACGTGCATTCGTTACTAGTAAAAAATCTGTTTTATCTTAGAATATTATTTTTGTAATTTGAGTAGTCTATCCGCATTTAACTGGTATTGTCTGTACTTCCTAGACCCGGGAATTATTTCGAACATGCTCAACATACTTAGGTTCCTTATACTGCTGAAGTTTATAATAAACAATACCAGGGTACCAACTCTGTTTATTCAAAGATAGAGATAATATATTTACGAGATCGAATAATCCGATATTTCATATGCAGCAACTTAATTTGAGTTAGATTGGAAAGCAGTTTTATTCGTCGAACGTCGTCTTTCACCCTCTTTCTGTGCAAGAAAATTTACATTTTAGGAGAAACTTTTATGAGAAATTAATTCATGAAAGACCTGGCCTTCAAGCACGTGTTCCTAATTTCTAGGCAAAAGAGATATGTACCCATTTAAAAAAGGCGGCTACCTAAAATTAAACGTCGTAGATACATATTTAGTTGTACTTAATATCTACAATTTATTAACGCACAATTTCCAAAATATCCAGTACGTTTCGAAAAGAAAGACCAGGAACTACAATAGCCACTTTTTGTTTACTTCGGTGTAAATGTTTCTCTATTTTATTAATTTTCTCTTCTGTATGTAATAAAATCACAAAATTATCAATTTACCGTTGTGACACTGTTTGTAAAGTACTTCTCGCTTCATTGTATCATATCATGTAATAAAACTAAATATTACGTACTACTGAAGTTGACCAGAAACTTTCATGATCACTACATCTAATATAGATGAATATAGATGAATACAGATGAATACAGATAATAAAATGCTTCAGGGGGCATTGTTGGGTATTAAATAAATAATAATATATTCCATCGCGTTGCCACGAACAGAACAACGTTACCTAGGTGATGCAATATTAATAATCGTCTGTGTCACGTGAAATATCGCCAAAGGAACCGTAGTCGAGCGTACGATACGCAGTCCTACAGTTTCAACGTTTCGAGTGTCCCTGTTGCTGTCTTTCGCATCGCCCGAATAACAAATATCGTCGGTCGGTCGCATGCACGAAGCAAAAACAATTCTTTCGTTTAATTTATTAGCCGTAGATCACCGGCACCGGGTGCTGTTTCGGGTTTTCCCTTGATGGCCGGGTCGGGGGTAGGACAATTTCGAGGATCAACGCCGTTTCTGGCAATGACACCGCCAGGGAGCGGCACGCGACGTCCACGGGAGATCGATCGTGAAGGCCAACGCGTTTCGGACGATTGACCGTGCAAACGAACCACTTCCTTTTCCGGATCGTGTCCCCAACCTCTCCAGGCACACGAAACGCTCGAAAGAGAGGGGCTCTTCTCGAGGCGTCGGAACGCATGACCGAAGGGTTCGCAAGCCTGCGGTTTCCGTTTTTCTGAATTACGTTAGGACGCCACGTATGCCACGCATTTGCTCCTGGCATACTAATACGACCGTGTTTTAAGAGGTTTCCTCGGTTGTGTTTGATATGGTTGCACATAGTGCTACTCTAAGGTGTTGGAAAAGATTGCTCGGTATGTGTAATAGTTTATTTAAAGGGGCACTACCAACTGTTTTTCACTAAGTAAAATTTCACATGTCTCGATGATTTCGACAAAGTTTTTGTTTAATATTGTATAGGACGATAGGTCCTCTCATGTGATTTATGATATACTGCTGGGTAGGTTGACAGGGAGGCAGGAAGGCACGCCATACTTTGAAATAGAATTACATATAAATTTTAGTATTATTTACTATGTTAATATTATATTATTATATTATGTGTAATATATTACACTATGTATAATTTACATTGGTATACATTTCACACTGATGCAATCAAAAATACACGATCTCATTTAAACAAACGTTAATGACCCTCGCATGTCCCCTACGCGTCTACTAACAGAAAGTCTAATAACATCAGAATATGGCTCACTTGAAACCATTCAAAGCTGTCTACATAAATGTTTGCTATGTATCATAATTGATAATATTCATAAACGTAAAATATACGTAAACCGAGTTGGTAATATCCGTTGGACGACTCTGTCTGTACGCCTTTAGCAACGAAATGGTTCAAACACCAAGTCTGTCCGAATTGCTTGGCAGACTCTGTACGGAAACGATCATAACGAAAAAGGAATCTGCCATAGAATGGAAGACATGTCGTCAGGCTTCATACCTCCTCAAGGTGCCTATTCCATAGCTGTGTCTGTTGACCTTATTCCGAGGGCGCATTCGTAGCAGTAAGTTTCGAAAGGTGAACGAGTGGCGCATCCGTCGTCTGCCGCGGTGTCGCGACCCGCACAATGACACGAGTGCCGACCTCTTCTGCGCGCTTGCAAAACGTGAAGCATGCACTCCTGACACCTCTTCACGCTAAGGTCGACCGTGTCGTGAGCATTCGTCGTCAAAGAAAGGAACGAGGGACAGCTGCCAAGCCCGACGAACGTCGAACGAACGCGAAAATGGCCCGGACGAAGATCCCGCCGCTCTGCTCTCCGAATGACTCGTAATTATGGCACCCAGGTGCCGAAATAGAATTTCCCAGCTTTCGACGAGCCAGCCAACGTCTCGCGTCGAGTCATTCAACGGTCGTTCCAATGGAGAAAGATTCATTTTCCTCCGCCCCGTGTCGACATCTCGTCGACTGAAATTTCTTATCGACCCGTCTTTCGTCGTCGCTTCCCGAGCAAGGTGCCATAAAATGGACGGGGCTAACGAAGTTTAAAAGTATATCGCGACGAGTGTGCGTTGTAATTGAGTTCCCGAGGGTCGTTTGACGTTTGCGTTCTTAATGATCGTCCTATTTCCCGCTCGTCGGCAGCCAGCTCGCGAAATGAATTCTCGCGTTGTACAGTCTTTAATCGTTTCACCTGGGACGAGCGCATTATAAGGACAAACGTTGCAAATATTTAACTGTTTCGTCGCGTGAAAACGCTTGTCATTCAGCGACACCGTGGAATCCCGTGATAATTTGTCGAATTTAGTACGTAGTTTTGTCTTGGCACACTTTGAGACAATAGTTCTTAATGCGCCTTCGATGTATTCCGAGGACAAAGTTCGCGGACCTTATAAATTTTTGGAGGCTTGCGAACATGCCGAGAGAAATGTTAAATATACACGGTGTCTCCTAAACTGGCGGTACGAGCGAGTAGGGTGTGAACAATTTTCATATGACCCTTCTGTCGTATGCTTAAAATCAAGCAAGTTGATGATACTTAATTAACGATGACGAGTATGATAGACTAAGGGATGCTTCGAGGAAATTGTTTCCGCGATAAGCTAACCTTCTTGTTTCTTTTTTGTTTCAGAGGGACGCCCTCAATCTGGAGGCAAACAACGTGGCGAACTGCGTGTCCAAAGGGAAGTCAGAGGTGAATTATTTCTTTATTTCATTATCGTATTTATCGCTCGGCTCCTGTTGCCTTTTGACGGAATTTTAATATCGAGGTAATCTAATTAACGTCGCTTGAAACAGAAACGTAGAGGTAGGGTAATTACGGAAATGTAAAATGAAACGTTGAGAGGAGAAACACGGGGGAAATAGCTGTGGAAAAACGTCACGAGCAAAAAGAAAAAAAAAATGTATACGCATTCTAAAAGATCTGGGAAACGAACGAGCTGGAATATCCTGAGATTTTTCACCCAAAAATGGAACAAACGATGGAAAGTACTACGTGCCTTGACGATTATAATTCAATCATTCGAATCAAAGATATATTTTATGATAATTTTCTTTAAATAAATAACTTCTTAAAATAATATGTGTCAAATAGCCACGATTTATGAAAAAATATTGGAAGTAATTTAGCGCTACTGCAACATATAGGTTTATAAAAGAAATATTCTAACTGAGAGTAATTGAAGTAATATTTTTATTGTAAAACATGTATGTTACAAAAGTTTATTAGGATATTTTACTCATAGTCCTACAGTTTAATATTTTATTTCTCATTCACTTGACAGTGCTATGAATAAACGTTAAATGTTAAATAAATAAAATCAGAAATTTGTACAAATCAAAACGCTTTAATAACTTGTTGAAACTATTCTTCTGTGCAGCTTGAGTTCTATTTTTCTTTTAATTCGTGCGCCTCAAAGTGTTAAAACGGCTTCATTTCGTACGCATCGCGGACGTGTAAGGTCAGGTGAAATATTCTCTACGTGACGACGAAACCAATTTATTTTTCGCATACCAGTTCGGTTCGAAATACGTGGCCAACGTGATCGATCACGGCACTACCCTTTGCTTCGATTGCATTTTATATAATTTTCTGAAAAATCCATGTCCGCGTATCGTACTCCTGTCCTCGCGTCTCCCACGCCCTCTGCCCCTAACCTTTCTTCGCGCGTACCCGCCGAAAATTCAATTTTCTTCCCCTTCTTTTCCAGCACTTCGACTGTCGGAATCACATAAGGGTGATTCAGCCAATGGGAAACGGCAATCGACTCTACATTTGCGGCACGAACGCTCACTCGCCCAAGGATTGGGTGATCAACGTAAGTATCTACGTACAAAACATTAATTTCGTTTACATAATTATTTCATATTTTTTAGATTTTTCTTTTTAATTTTAATTGGTCTTGTTTCTTAAAGTCGTTACTTTTAAAATCGTTAGCGATTAGTATATAACTCTTGGTCATTAAACGGATCATGTAGGAGACGCATCTATGATAGGATTTTCTAGAACAGTTTTACTAACTTATGCACAATTTTAAATATCGTTATTCTTGTTGTTCATTTTAACGCATTCGCTTTGATGTTAACATCGTTACCAGATGATCTCGAAACAAAAGTACAGGAAGCTCTGTGTTGCGAAAAATACAGAAAAATTAAGGATAGAACTTTCAAGGGTAGCTGCATACTTGTATAATTTAATGTATATGTATATTTAATGCATAAATGTATTGCAGTCAAATATTAAGTTGAAGTTGTTATTACATTTTGAAAAAGGTTAAGTCATGACATCTAAAAAATGTAAAGTGTTTTACGTAAAAATATAATATAGTTGCACTTAAGAAAAATTTTAATTTTCTAAACAACTAAAGATCACAGAAAGACAAACATTAATAAACCATGAGACACCTTGCTCAACTTGTTTATTTAATTTATGAAGTATTCATAAGTCGTTACGGTCTCTAAAATCATTCTGCATACACAATAAGATATTTTGTAACGCATCACGACGGTAAAATTGTTAAGAATTAATGGTATGAATTACACTTGGATTTGTGATCTTTGAGAGTAAATTGAATACTCGTTAATAATTGAGCTGACAGAATGTTGAATGACATCAAATTCCAGGGACATTCTTTTACTGTAATTTTGACGCCACGTTTTGTATTTTGTCGTTTCGTTGGAGCATCAATATTTCACGCGGAATCTGTCACCAACACAAAGCCGTAAGCGCCGTAGTTACGTAGCAAGGCAAATGAATCGTGCGTTCAAGCACCCGTGTAATGAAGTCAAAGAATATATTGGTCTCGCTTTGTCGAAGATTACGACTCCCGTGCGTGTAATAGAGTTTCGCGCTGTAACGTGCAGCCTTTGCGTAGAAACCCGTCGTTTTAGCTCTAAATTTTCCGCTTTCGGCAAGCGTCGCATTACTCTTCGCCGCTATTCCCTCAAAATGTTAATCAAGATCAACGCAAATAAATCTAAAAGCAAAAAGTTAGCCTCTGAAGAAGGTTATGTGAATGTCACAATAATTCAACGTTGATTTGAAAAATTCAAAGCTGGCGATTTTTTATTAGAAAATTAACTTATTCGTCATCATTTTCTACCTTCTGATTGTATAATTAATGCAGCATCTTATTGCAACGAAACAGAAGAAACGCAACCAAAATAAATAAAAATACAGAATTATGTGAAAATTATTTCAATTAAATGTACAACGTTTTATTAAAAATAGTTTTATACAGTTACAGCTTCATTTGTATAAACTACATTTCATCTATAGCAACCTAATAAAATACATTATTTCTGCGAATAAAGAATTAATTGTGACTGTTGGACTGGAAAATCGGGAACTGAATATCGTCTTAAAAATAAAGTAGAATGAAAAGAACCATTTCCGAAGTACTCGGCAGAAACAACGTCACTATTATGAATTTAGTTTAACGTAGCAGGTAAACTCGCGTAGTTCACACGTGTAATACACCCCATGTGTTATTCCACAGAGCAATCTGACCCACTTATCTCGCCACGAGTTCGTCGCAGGCGTGGGACAAGGCATAGCGAAATGTCCTTACGATCCCGCGGACAATTCGACGGCAGTCTGGGTGGAAAAGGGCAATCCTGGTAACCTGCCAGCACTTTATTCCGGCACCAACGCCGAATTCACGAAAGCCGATACCGTGATCTTCCGTACGGATCTCTACAATTTAACCACCACTCACAAGGAGTTTAGCTTCAAGAGGACGCTGAAGTACGACTCCAAATGGCTGGACAGTAAGTACCCTTCTACTCGGCAATTTCTTCTTCTTAGTCTCAAACGAGGCAATATCCGAGGAATTAGTACTCCGCCTATCGTCAAACGTTTTACGGCACGGAACACGAACCCTAACGAGATGGAATCGTTATAATTGATACTTTAAATTCGAAATCGTTACTTATCCCATTTCCAGATTTTAAAGTATCGATTTCCAAGGGAACGGGAAGTAGAATGGGGATGGAATAAAATTACCTAAATTGGACCACTTTGGAGGGTCTCTTAAATTCTAGGATCTCTAACAAATACTTGCATCGATGTCGTTGTTTAGTACATTGTTAGTACTTGAGTGACTTTGAAAGGAAATTTAAAGTACATAGGTGAAATTGTTTGATAGCTTTAGTGTTCAAAGTTATAACGGGATTGTCCAGCATAACACGATTGAAAGGAACGACCGAAAATCACTCAGAATTTAAAATGTTCAGGTAAAAGTGTTCCAATTTGATCGTCTCTTTCCCTTTATTTTTCTCGCACAACGAACAAACCTGTTCTGTTTCCACTTTTAACGCATAAACCACATACTTCGAGTACGCTAAAATAGTTTGAGAACGACAGTCCTGAACGAAAGTTCAGAGAAGACCAACGGTGTAATTCGTAGCCAACGAAGAGGTTAGCAAAGACCATTCGTCGTCGATTCGCGGAGAGCAGCGTCAGCCGCGAAACCTAGCGAAAGGTTCTCGTTAAGGCGTACTCGTTCGACAAAGAAATTTTCATTAGTATCCGAATGCGGATTTCCTGAGGAAACACGCGAAAGAGCGAAGGGGAAAAAGGCCTTCTCGTTACATGGCGAGGCTCTTTGAAGCGAAGCCCGAACGTTGCAAGAAACACGTACCACGCTTAAATAGTTGCGTATAAAGCCGATACCACGGCGCCGGCTGTTTTCCCCGCGGGGCAAAGGGGCTGACAGTTCCGTCATTGAGCGTGTCGAGGGTTTCCACGGAAAACCGTGCAAAGAAGGCTGTGTTCGTGGTGTGGGGAAGATAGAAAGCGGTTCTCGGAGGGCAACGGTGTAGTACACCGTCAGGCTTTAGAGAGGGTGTACGGTTCTAAGAACGGGAGAGTAATAAAATAACACCCGTCCACGATTTTCCCCGACTAAATGCTCGTCCATGGCAGCCTCCACGAAAAGAGAAAAGGGTCGAGGAAGTCGAAGTTTTTCGCATCACTGGCTGGAGAAACGCCCCTTTACATCGCCCTGCGTCCCGAGAGTCGATCTTTAATCAGTTTTAGCGGGCTTCCGATCGACCGTGGAGGGATTGCCGCGATCCACTCGATTTTTCGTTACCGTGCGAAACATCAGCCGGAATTCGGCGAAGGGAAATTGGAAAATGTAGATTAGAACGTGTTTCGTTTACGGAATCGTAGGATCTGGTAATCAGCTCGAAATTTGTTGGTGGTGGCTACGGTTGATATGTTTTCTTTTTTTATATTTATTGTACGTATTGCATCCACACTTCGGAAAGGTGAAGATAAATAAAGGGGGGATGAGAAAGTTTCACTTTCACATTCTATGGTATTGATTTTCAAATTTCGAATTCAAACAGGATCAGCGTCTCCGAAAACCTCTGTATACCAAGTTTCAATATTAGATCCGCCTACCAAAAAGTAGTAAGTTAAACAATCCAAATTACTTCCAGATCTTGAAACTCTCCGATATTAATATAATAACTTGAACCTGAGGTTTACAATCGAAGAAGCACTTTAACGAATGGCAATGATATTGAACAGAATGTAACAAAATCGAGCAAGTTACGAAGCTCATACTATTATCGATCGTCATTGAAACGTAATAAAGAATCATACTGTAGATTAGTACTAATTGCTTGATTTGATATTAATTTTCCCCACGAAGGAAACCACAGGTGTGCTAAATTCTTCCGCATGACAAGTCGACAAAGTGCAACGTAAACTTTCGTACCTGTAACGGTACCGGTGTAATCACTTAGAGAAGAATATTATTATAGATAAAAGTCAACGTCGTTGACGTCTCGTTATTTATGAAGATGCAAATATGTACATAAAGAACTATCTACTTCTTCAAAGTTGGTGTCACCATCTAAATATTGAAATACATCGATATTTTCATAAAACGGGTAAAATACTTATACAAAAACGATTTGATCCACTCAAATTAGAATTGTTATCTATGATATTATTAGTTCAACGCTGTTTCTTCCGAGTTATTATTCAAGCAACAAACTTTAATCTTCATTTCAAGAATTTCAATTCCATGTCCTTTTGAATAGTACTCCTCAGTCTGTAACGTGACGAGAAAACAGATATTATATTCATTCCTTTCTGTAATTTTAGGTTATACCGTTTTGCATTCAATCTAAGAATGTATCTGGTTAATACGTTTGAACACGCCTGTAGTTGCTTTATATTACTCAGGAGGGTTCCGTTTTCCGCCCTTCGAAGCGTGCCAGCTTTGGACCTCTCTTCGACCTTGTGGCATAGGGTCTCGAGAGCGAAAGGAGTGAAACGAGGTGAAGGAGTACGCCGTCGACCTCGCTTTGTATCTTTCCGACTGCCCTCGCTCCCCTTGTTCGCAACCCCCGTTACCCGCGGGATGCATGATTAGCCGTTTGTTTCGTCGTTTAATTCGAAGGCGGCGCCCTTTCACTCCTGTCCCCACCTCTTGCTCGATTGCCAACGCTTTCCAGCACAGGACGTTGCCATCAAGGGCCGTTCCCCGCATCGAGTTTGTCTATTAACAGAGGCGTTGATTAAATGCAGGAGAGACCCCGGAGAGACGGATAGGTTCACGTGGCTACTCGTACTCCTAACCTGTGCCTCCCTCTGATTCCCTCTGTCTCTCTCGATCTCTCTCTGGTTTTCTTCATCCGGTAACGTAGCTACGGTTCTTAAGCTCGTGAGTAATTAATCATTTTGGGCCGCTTTATTTACGATAAAGTGAATTTTCTGAATTTCTAGTGGAATTTGCGTTGAAACAAATTTAGTGATTCGTGGCAGTCTCAGGCACTTTATTTAGTCCTCGCAATGTACATTTCGACTCTGGAAATTTCTACGACACGAGTTTTTAAAATAAGTGATGTATTGATAGAGATACTGATTTCAGTATTTAGTCGTTTGCAGGTAAAGGCAAAAATGTTCGAGCTGTCGAAACCATAGTAAAAGGATCATAAATATAAATGGTGGAAACGTCATCAATAAAAACGCGCGGAGGAACAAAACGTGACAATTACTTAAGCCAAATCTATTTTCATTAAATGTTGCGTCTGGCTATAAAGCTTAACATAGTGGTGGGTTCTTCTTATTTCACTTGTTTGCGGATGGTGGAGTACGACCGCAAATTTACTAGGATCTCTAGTCTTATTTTACTTGTGTTATATAGTAGCTACGCCCTTGGCTCTGTCCCGTTCTTTAGAGAGCGGAGTTCCCGGTAAAGTATATGAAATTAAGATCGATGCGATTTGCGGCATGGGTGGGAGATAAAGGATCGCGAAGAGAGGATGCGGAACACGGGCAAGATGGAGGAGAAAGAACGGCTGGTGGATGAAGCTTAACAAGCGCTGAATAACCGACTGACGACCGTCCACTTTCACGGATCCTTGCTCGTGTCAAATGACGCTCAGCCGTTCCTTGTTCATTTGTTTCCATCCACGGGACGTTTCCGCGTGCGAGCGTTCTGAAAGCTTGGCCTTCTTTTTCCTCTTTACGTCCGGTTACGTACGTTGCAACAATTTATGTGGACCATCATGTATATTCGTATAAACTTTTGCATAAACGTATTTTGAAATGCAACACGGCATAGCGGCTTTTATATATGGGATAATGATGTCATAAAATTTTTTAGATCGGTTCAATAGTTCCGGAGATTACCCCCTACATACAAACAAACAAACAAACTCTACCTCTTTATAATAGTAGTATAGATTATCCACGTTTTAGATACCACAGAGTTTCTGTTATCATTGGATCGTGATGTTCAGAGTCCCTGTGGTCTTGGTCGTTCCCCAGACACAAATAACGTCAAAAGCAACGGCCAGACGACAGATCTAATTGATTGTACGCGACTGTTGCTCAGCCTGTCGCTTGCCTTTCCGCAAGGTTGCTAAAGTATCAAAGTACGAGCTTTTCGAAAACTTCGCTGTGTAGAAATGACGAAGGAAAAGGGAGGCATGGAAAAAGATTGACACGGTCAATTTAGGAAAGCCCCTGGAGACATCGTCGCGGGTCGGGGTAGTTCAGTCAGCGAATATTAACCAGTCGCGAGTAATTTGGCGTATTTATTAACGGGGGTGTCGTCTCTAATGGCGAACGGGGGCGCGAGGGACACGCGGAAAATAGAATTTCGTATTTGTAAGCGTGACAATCTAGCCATGGCACACCTGGATACGCCAGCAGCGACTTGTAAACTTTATGAAACTAGCCCCAAGGGTGATTTCATTATTCCTCTTGCGAGCGGCGCGAAATCGAGAGTACCGCGAGGAACGTTTTCCGCTCTGTTCGTACAATACCGTTTCGCCCCGACGAGCGGCGCCCAATCAAAACTCGTCGGTTGCCTCGTGTTTCTCTCGAGTCGAGACATTTCCTTTTCCTGTCCTCCCTCTGTCGTTCTCTGTCCTCCGTTCAACCACCCTGTCCCTCTTTCTCCTTCTTCCGGGATTTCCACCCTCTTCGTGTTCGCTCTTCCTCCGCTTCTCTCGCCGCTGCGCCTCAATATATCAAACTTCCACCGGCGAAGCGTCAGACAATCGATTTAATCGGTGAACTGTGAAAGAGATTGCGGCCTCTACCCCGCGCCATCGCATAATGTAAAATCGACGGAGTCTGTACCGTTCGCGCGGCGACGATTTAAGCGCGGAACAAAATTCGATCGTCGTCTCTGCGTCGGATCGCCGCGCACTGGGACAGAGTCACATTAATTATCACATGCTATGGGCGTATTTGAATACAGCGTATTTTGTTTGAATTTGTTTTCAAATTCAATCCATGAAAAGCTATTTTATGTCCTTTTGCGATCGCTTACACTGTACATAGGATCGAACAAAACTTTCCAATATCCACCGGGTTCCCAATGTTTGACTTGCATTTCCTTGTTTTCCATTTTTATTTGATATGCATTGTTTAAATCTTGCCGTTTTGTTTCTCCATGTGCTGACACTTGTTTCACCAACTTTAATCGTACAATATATTTTCGTAATTGTTTACGAGAGCTTCGACTCTTACGGTAACCCTTCGCAAAGAAGATTACAACGTTGCTATTAAAAGTTTCCTCTCACTCTACCCAATTATACATCCCCATTCCTGAATTTGATGAAGGATAAATTGTAGTTAATTTAATGATAAAGTTTTATTTGCTGTTCGTGGATTACTTCGGATTTAAAAACTTGCCTGTATTTTGCGTTATTAATACTCTAAACGCCATTTTAGTCGCGAGTGACTGACAATATACATACATTGACTGACGTTACATACTTTAAACATTTATATTATGTTCAATAATAATATAGTTTGAAGTTTATAAACAATGTATGTAAATTTGTTCTGATGATTTAAACAAAAAACGACTCTATGACTCTTTTCAGGAAAACTATGTTCACTTGAATTATTTATTTTCACACGCACCTTGTGCTGCGAAAAATTAAGAGAATCTTTTTTTTTATAAATCTTCCCACAATTTGTAAGACTCGAAGGCGATTAGCACTATGTTTAAATTTTCGAATATTGACTCAGGATCCATGATTTACGACATACAAATTGATTCATGACCCATAAATGTGTGTTGTCATCTAGAATGCATTAATGTAAAGCTTCGCATTAATTGGGTGTTATTTATAAGATAAAATGTATACAAAAAAGTAGGCTCGGTGCTTAACATGTTAAAATGAGACCGTATTAATATTCCCGCAGGTCTGAAACAGGTATTTTTAAACTGTGAGTTTTGGTTTTCATACAGCTTTCGAGACTCGCGAATTATCGATGCCTCGACGATCATAACGAGTGAACCGTTAAGCGGTTTTACGATTGCAGATCGTAAAAAACGACAAGTGGATGCTCGTTAAGCATACGTTCAACTTGGACGCTTCGCCGCTGGTAAATGAAAACCGAAGAAGTCGTTCCTCTTTCATCGAGCGCGAAACTTACTTTTCCGCGTCGTAACGCGGGGGTTCTTGGAACGTTTGTTTTATAGTTTTTCTCATTGTTCCGGCAATCCTTCGAATTCCAAAGTTTTTGGAGAGTTCTGACGATCGTTTCCCGACTCGTAACCCTTCCGCGTAATTTTCTCGGGGTTCAACTTTTGTTTTCCTAACGAGCACCTGCGGCGATGTGAAATGTTTCTGGTACATCGAGCGAAGGGTCGATCTTGCAAAAGACAAACTTTCCACTACGTTGCCACTACATTTAGTCGTTATTTAAAAGCATTCATTATTTATCTCTCTCTTTAGAAAGGAAACAAAGTTAATCCGGAGATATCGTTAATGCTTTCTCATGTAAAATAATCGTTCCCATTGTATAGATTTTTCTATATTTTTGAAAATCAATAATCATCGGTGTAATATTCGAGCACGCTGCCCATTTATATTGGACCTTTCGACCATAGAATATTATAGTCCTTTTCGACGATACAACGATATTTTATTCTGTGATATATGAAAAAGGAAATTGCTATGGAATATTGTTTCCTGTTACAGTGATTTTAAAAATATAATATTGCAAAACTTAAAGGCATAAGTCAGGCATAATCTTACGATAAAAAATGATAAGAAAAGAAAAATAATTTAAATTATTCTATTAATTTATTACATTGTGATAGGAAGCAAGTGTTTTGATAAATGGTTTAAAAACAATAGACTGAAACAACACAATACTTTTCGAGACAATATAATATTATCATTTAGTAGACCACTATGTATATTTTACTCCTCTAATATTTAATAACTTTATTATGGAGCAATGATGTTACAGTGTTAATTTCTGTAGGTATATACTAAATCTTATTCGCAATGTTGCTAGAAAATTATCTTCAATTGATTGTTGAAGATTTGAACTTTATTTTTTTTTGTTAAAGGGACTCATCATAATTGTCGAAACATCAAAAATATAAATATGCTTGGTACGACTCGTTGTGTCTTTGAATTAGTTAATATGCATGCATCGTATCCTTAATTTCGAAATACCGGTGTTGGACAGACCAATCCTATTCCTGGTGTCTGGAACATTACGTGCGGAAGAATTCGAATCGCACGAGATTATCTTCTCAAGCATCAGAACCGAAAGCACGGTTGCTTCGTGTTGTACCTTCGTCGCTCTCCAACATTTTCGTTTTCTCATTTTGCAAGCAAAGTGTAGAATTCTATCGTGGTATTCGGAAACGTCCACAATTAAACCACGACCATGCAGATTATTATTCTCGACACAATTGAGTAAACTGTATTTACTCGTAATGAACACAAGGGATGCAATTGAATACTAAAGGAAGGCTGAATTTTTGGATTTTTTAAAAATTTCTTACAACTTCTTTTAGTTGTCTTAAATTAAAGAGAAGGTTATCAAAAGATATTGAAAAAAATAAAAATGCAAATAATATACAAAAACAGCACTTTAGATGCCACTTTATAGATTGTACTTGCTACTATTCTTCAAAGGATTCAAAACGCAATGAATCAGTTGATCTGAAAAAAATTCATGAAGACTTTACCTTTTGAGCCTTTTTTGAGCGTCTAATTGTATATAACGCCCTTAAGCGCAAAACTAAAGCGCAGGAAATTGCATGCGAACCGGCTTGTCTCCCGGTAGTTTTCTTTATTTTAAACGCCAACACTGTGCCCTCGAATGTCAACGTGAATATGCATTTGTGGAAATTACAAAGGAGGCCGAGGTTAATTTATTAACCTTTTTATGATTTATTTCGTAATTGCTTGTACGTTTCCGCGTGCTCTCCGCGGTATAATATCCAACGGTGACGAGATTAAATTTGACGAAGAGAATTTTATTTCATTCGGAAAAGACGAATTAAATTTACTCGCGAAAGGACGCAATAACGATTAAGGGAAATTTGCTGATTAAAATCTGCGTTACTTTGCGTGGTTTCTTTGAAGAGAAACGGTTACAGCGGAGCGTGCAGGAACTCCTAAATTACACAGACCCGGGAAAACTGATCTTTTTCTCCGCTTTCGCCGGCACGGAAAATGCTTCTGTCGCGCGACATCCGTCGGCGCGGTGTTGATTTTTAGTCGGGGCTAAAAGAGCGCGGAACATCACGAGATTTGCATCTTAATTTGCGTGATTGTATTTAAAGAGCAAATCGTTCGGTGGAAATCTTCGCGCGGAATTTTATCAACGTGGAAATCTTACCGCGGTAGTTTCCATTGAAATTACTGTTTCCCTGTATTCGACACGGAATTCAATTTTATTTGTACCGCGAGAGATTTAATATTTCCATAAATTTTACAGCGACTAGAATCGGCGTTGAATTTATATTAAATTTGTTAAGGGACACTTACCCACGTTAAACATTATTCCTTGAATGTTCGCTCTTATATACGGAGTATTTGCCGACGATGTTCCGAATAGCTAACCTTGTTTTACCACAGAAAACATTTAATTCACGTTAAAAATTGTATTCGTGGATTTTTATAAGCGAATAACAGGTATTTCAATTTTACAGCGAGATATTTGAAATGATAATTGAGCGATAATATCCATCACAGTATAGAAGAAGGAGATTTTTATAACATCAGAAGTTGAATTTTCTGTTTATCTGTTTCAGAGCCCAATTTCGTTGGATCTTATGACATCGGGATCCACGTGTTCTTCTTCTTTCGCGAGACCGCGGTAGAATACATAAATTGCGGCAAAAGCGTGTATTCCCGCGTGGCTAGAGTTTGCAAAAGGGACACCGGCGGCAAGAATATTCTGTCGCAAAATTGGTCGACTTACCTCAAGGCCAGGTTGAACTGCTCAATACCTGGCGAATTTCCGTTCTATTTCAACGAAATACGTAAGTAACGCTTAAAATTCCCTAAATTAAAATTTTGTAATAATCTATAATATTCCTAAAATAATATTTATCGAATTAATATTTTTCCAGAGAGCATTTACAAAGTTCCAGGTGACGATACCCACTTTTATGGTACGTTCACGACCTCGACGAACGGATTGATGGGTTCGGCGATTTGCTCGTTCCACATCGACGCGATTCAAGAAGCGTTCCGAGGAAAATTCAAAGAACAAGCGACGAGCAGTAGTGCCTGGCTTCCAGTGCTCTCAAACAAAGTTCCTGAACCGCGTCCTGGCCAGTGTGTGAATGACACAGAGACATTCCCTGACACCGTCCTCAACTTCATTCGGTCCCACCCTCTAATGGACTCTGCTATATCTCATGAAAACGAGAAACCAGTCTTCTACAAACGGGATGTGATGCTCACACGATTGGTCGTGGATAAACTGCGTATTGATTTCGTTGGCATCGACTTGGAGTACACAGTTTATTACGCTGGTTCCAGTAAGTACATATTTATTTATGCGCACTTCTTCAATTATATTAATTCAAATAACGCGTCATTTACAATACAAAATATTTTAATATCACATACATTACAAAATATTATATTCGTAAAATGAGAATCCTATCAATTTCTTTACATTAACGATCCATACACTTATATCGAATCAGAAATAACGTGATTGTCGCTGATGTTATAAATACAGCGAGACATTTATTCATTCGTGAGTGAACGTACAAAATGTTTTCCGTCGGTTCTGGATAACTGAATTTATGACCTCCGTTTTATGTTCGTGTTGCGTATTTATATGTTTACGTTTCATAATTTCAGCGAAATTATCGTTTCACCGAAAAAAATATTTCTCTAGTGGCTGCGTACTTTTTTATAGGTTGTCCACATAATTCGCGTTATGACATTTATATTTTTTTCGAGGGAGTTTCAATGCAGCGTTGAAATGTCTGTCCTAAATCACGAAATTATCGTAGAAGATATGATTGCGAAACGTACATCCACGCCACGTTTTTGCGCCGATATCTGTAACGTGATTTGTCACGGACAAACTTGGCGAGATAATCACGATCCACTTCGAAGTTCTTGCTGTTGAATCGTGCAATCCGCTTTTGCTATCGTTGGGCGCATCTCGCTGGCATACGTCTACTGTTATCCCTGTAAAATTATTGTCATCAGGAGTCGTAGGGTTGTAATCACAAATTATAAAAAACAGCAATACATTAGCAGTATAGCCTAATGTATACTACTCGTATACGACAGAAATTATTTTTTTAATCATTGATAACGTACTTTGTGGTCTCTGCCATTGTTTATATGGCTGAGTCGTTTAAGAAACAAATTATTTGATTAATCGTTTAATGATCTGTGATATAATCCGATTAATGAATTTTATAATCAGTGTTTTATACTCAGAACATTGTAAAATAATAAAAATTTGAGTTTTATTTTTCTTTCAAATCGTGTGCCTGGAAAAATTAAACAATATAGGCTCGCGGATGCTGTAACAAATATTTCCAGAGTCCTGCGCAAAGAAAATGAAGAATACCGCGATTCTTCTTTGGTAAAAGTGATTACCAAAGAAGAATCTTTTCAGCGTTGTGAAAGTTACCCGATCAACGATGGCAATATCGTTGGGATGTTTTGACGGTATCGGTGGCCCACCGGCTGTCTCGAGCGTTAGTTTGCAATGGCACCGTTCCTCTGTGTTACAGGTGACGGACGTGTACACAAAGTCGTTCAATGGACAGACAACAACGGGGAATCCCAGTCTATCCTCTTGGACGTTTTTGACGTGACGCCGGGCGAGCCGATTCAGGCGATGGAAATCTCCAAGGAGCACAAGGCCCTTTACGTCGCTTCCGATCATCGAATAAAGCAGATCGACTTGGTGATGTGCACGCGAAGATACGACAACTGCCTTCGATGCGTTCACGATCCTTACTGCGGATGGGACAAGGACACCAACACGTGCAAACCTTACGAACCCGGGTGAGTGGTCTACTTTTTTATTATTCATTTCATGATTTGATAATACGTAACATTTTTGGATTAACACGTCGACCACCAGATTAATACTTGTGAAAAGTCCGCGGAGGCTAAAGTTTTGTTTCGAGACAATTGAAAACTACGCAATTTATCACTTGTCGTAGAATTTAGCTTTGAAACCTCATCGATTACGAATCCTGTCTAGATTTATTTTTATTAATATCTCGCATTTAGAATTCATTTTGTTTAGTTCCTTGATGAAGAATCTTTTCGCGCATATAATGAACATTAAATAAACACGATTACTTACCGTGTTTTATGAAAAGACACTTTTGCAAACCAACATTGAACAAACGCAGCTATTTAGTAAATAATGTGGCTACGTATTTAATCCGTGATCCTATTCGTGGATTTTTCCAGGCTCCTTCAAGACGTGTCGAACAGCACCGCCGACGTTTGCGATAGCAGCGTAGGGAAACGGAAGCTGGTAGTCACCTGGGGCCAGTCCGTGCATTTGGGCTGCTTCGTGAAGATGCCGGAAGTGCTGGCGAATCAGGAAGTCAGGTGGTACCATTACAGCAAAGAGAAGGGCAGGTATCAGATAGCTTACAAATACGGAGCCGGAGGGGAGAAGTTCATCGAGACGTCCGAAAAGGGCCTGGTAATCGTGGGCGTGAACGAGCAAGACGCGGGAAGATACGACTGTTGGCTCGGAGGTTCGCTTCTGTGTTCGTACAACATCACCGTGGACGCGCACAGATGTTCCGCGCCCGCCAAGTCCAACGATTATCAGAAGATATACTCGGACTGGTGCCACGAATTCGAGAAATACAAGTCCGCCATGAAGACCTGGGAGAGAAAACAAGCGGTGAGTTTATCGACTACCTAAACATTTCGATCGTTTCACAATTTTAATCCCTTCGTGCATGGACTTGGTACTTCTTTTTTAATACGTGATAATTAGTATTTTAGAATTATAAATGTTATGCTTCGACAACTGATGTCTATTCAAATGGTTCCTATGGCAGTTAAACATTCGTCAAAAGATATCACTAGACTGCGGATTTGTTTGGATTTATAGGACATTTGAATGTACAAGTAATTACAAAATGCACACAGTACGCAATGATATAAAAAACTATTAGAAGTAAAGTTCGTGTTATAACATTTGCAGAGTAAAGTAAATTCCTATTTACATGGCCTTAGGAGTGCAAAGGGTTGACTAAGCAGTTTAGAAACCCTCTGTAAACGTTATCGCGTACACTTTTCGTCGATTTTAAAGCGACTCAACGTCACACGAAACTGCGAACCTCGCTGCGAAATGGACTTTGTCCGCACCGAATGAAATCGATCGCCTGCTTGAGGATCCCCCTCCGTTGTCTCTGTTCCAGCAATGCGCCTCCAGGCAAAACGACAGCAATCAAAACCTGCACACGAACGAAGTGTACGGCACACCCCTGGTCTGATGGAGCCGTTCGTTGGAGCCCTCGTCGAGCCGAGACCCCGACACAATGCTACGTACAAGCGTCCTGCCGAAGAATCGCGGTCCATCCACGATCAGTTGGACGAGCCTCACTCTCCTTCTGACCGGTTACACCACTGCCTTCGTCCTTCTTGCTACCGATGAGTTTTCGACCAAGTGAGATCGATAACGGAACCGGCAAACCGAACGTCCGATGGGCGAGGGGAGCAGCTCGATCATCGCGACGTCCGTCCTCGATCCTTTGGACGAGCCTCGTCCTGATCGATCGCGTCTACGCCCTTCCCACCGAAACTGTCCTTCGACGAACTTTCGATCTCGCCTGTGCCGACCAGAGAAGGGCGATCCCAACGATCGGACGATCGGTGCAACGAGACTATAACAACGCGCTGTGTTCGACGCATAATCATTACCAATACGCCTGCCACAAACGGTATTTCCGCATTCCACTCGGCATGACAGTGCGCGTACGGTCGACGACTCCCGAGGATCCGATTTCGTTTCTGGTCCTTGATAACAACCCCACGAACGCTTTTCACTCATGTAAATAGACACGTGACGCGAACAAGGACCGCGACTCGAGGACGACGACCGCGAGCAACCCGCGAGCATCGACGAAAAGTGCGCTTATATGTCAGCGACGGAGGACGCGACTCGACGGGATGATGGCAACTTACGCGAACAACCAGCGGTTCGGCTCCTAAGTATATCGCTTCCAGCGGCGTCGATGGCTAAACCTGTCGGTCGGGTGATCGGGCAAGCTGGTACGGGTTACGTTTGTCGGCAATCGACCCCTCGATCGGTGGTTGACAACGTGTAATCCATGGTTACGATCACCGAGCGATCGGTAATCACGATTAACGACCTACGGCGTAAGCGGACACGATTAACTCTGAAAGATTACGAATTATCGATTTACGATCGCAGGCTGCGTATGTAGTTTACGGTTACCATTCAAATCCGACAACTTTCAGTGATTATCGCGAAAGTAACGGCGAATTAATCGCTGCCCAACTCCACCGTCGAGACGTCGCTCGAATCAAGGGTGTCCATCCGCGGGACAACACACTCGGAAACCGGATATAAATTCTCCTGTTTTTTCCTTAGATCTGTGATACGAACGACGAGACGAGACTCTCGAACGAACGTGTTCTCGGTTGGCCGCTCTACGAAGCGCCGAGGTTACAGGAGCAAAGAGAAAGGAAATGAAACGAGATAGAGAAAAGTGTGGAGAAAATATACATGTACGGTCGAGCTTCAGCGTAGTTTTAACGAGCCAGAAAACGACTTACGAGCACATCGGTCAACCGATTTTTGTACAATTTTCCACACTAATACGGCATGGTGGAGCGATAGATACGTATTTTCTTGTATTGGTTGATATTCGCGTTCAAGAAGTGAATGAAACATCTATTCGATTCTTCAAGCACGTAAGAAACGTCGAATACAACGTTCAAGATGGTTTACGGAAAATAGTGGACGTATATGGGACGCTACTGTAGCCAGTTGGAACACATTTTTATAAATGTTTCTTGTAAAGCGTATTTTTCTCTGGTTACCACAATAAAAAAATTAATTTTCTAAAGCTTCAGGATAAGGTTTCGTGCACTTATGCATAGAGTTTTACAAATTAATTTATAAAAAGCGCTCCAGTTTGTGCTGAACAGTAAGTACCCATAACGTGGTCGTTACAATTTGTTAATTAAAGGATTGCAGGCAACAAATTCATTTGGCAATCTTTTTGCAAATTTGTCAATTAAATTGTCTTTCCTCTGTCTTGCTAATTTTTAGAACTATGTAACCGAACAGAAGTTTTATTTTCAGGTTTGAAGCTATTTCTCGCCTCCTGAACTCGAATACGAGTAGCTCATGGGGGAAATACGAGTCTAAAATTTTTCTATGCCCTATGTTTGTGTAAAACTTGACCAAAATCGGTTAAGTCCGAGTAGTGTGCCTCGTTAGCCGGTAGACTATGTGTGTTTGTATGTGATACTGAGTCGCCGGGTGGAGAGAATGTTACGCGTTAGGCGAGAGGACGCGACGAAGCGTTCTCAAACGTCACGCAGGTTACACATGAGATTATTATCGGCTACGTAGTCGCGGCCTCCTCGCGACCGTTAGTTTGTTAGCTTTTTCATATCACGTCGCCAGTTTCTCGCGATCTGCACTGCCGTCTTCGATTCGCGCGATTCCTTTCGTCGCGACTCGACGAACGTTTGTTTTCAACCGTCGACCCGCTACATTTTCTTTTTCAACGTTCGATAGAACGCAGAGACGTGGATCGATCCTTCAATTCCTCACCTTTAGGTTGACTGATCACGACGATACGTTGGAACGTCTTCGAAGAGACTTTAGCATTATTTTACTCCGGTACGTAGTAATTAATATGAAAATTTAATTTTCGGAGAAGAAATTCGACATTTCGATTGGTAAAATTACGTAAGTAAGGTAAGAGGATTCGAATCCTATCCCATCACTCTTTGTTCAGAAGTGGAATACTGCATCTTGAGTTTGCGCTTGGTTTGCTGATTATGTGCTGGAAATTTTGGCATTCGTACGAGGATTTGGTAGACTAGTCAAGCACTGTTCATGGTAGGTATTATACAAATTTTGCTTTCGAAAAAGGGATTCATCTATCGCTTTGATAGTCTGATTAGTAAAGTAGTCGTAACGAAAGAGAAATCAAATTTTGGTTCAGCAATCCGATTGACTCAATCCTTGTTTAGAAGTAGGATTTGTCAAGGAACCTATCAGTGGACAGTTGAATCAAATGATAATCATTACGATCGTAATTCGAGTCTTAATCTAGCAATCTTATACTCGTATATCAGTTCATTCGACGTCGAACCTCTATATTTAGCGCCAAGTTTACTTAAAATTTGGACTTTTTGTCCGAACACGACTGATCGAATTTGTCAGGCTGTTCAAACTATAAGTCATTTTTTATATTTAAAAAAAAAACCTATCGCTGAACCTGTTAGCTTAACTGCTACACCATCTAATAATCTCAAGGTTCGAGCCTCCAAAACCGATTCTACTCCATAGACTTTTCTTCTGCCCTTCTTGCGACATCCTTCGAAGACGTTCCCACGTATCCCATTCGCGAAACGCCATCGTTAGACACGAGAAGCATTACTCGGTATCGCTATCGTTATTATCGTCGAGAAATCTGAAGGTGCTGCGCAGGTGCGTCGAGTGCGTGCTGGAAATCGGTAAAGCCTGTGATCCTGAAACCTACTTGGCGCTCCCCAAACTAACACGTAGCAGGAATCACGTGAACGCAAAACGCTCGTACGTTCGGATAGACGCAAACATCTGCTTCAAACGAGAGATTTTCTCGCATATACCTTCGTGTTTAGAGTAGAGTAGCCCCCGTTTGTTGGATAGTTTCGTGTCGTTTCGGATTCCGATCGCGGAAATTATCGAGCAAAATGATCGCGGGTCAACCGGGCAGGGCGATCGGTTCGAGACGAAAGTTCTAGCTTCGGCGAAGAGGGGAACGTCGTCGTGCACGCGTTGTTCCTCTTGATCGTTCTCCGTTCGCGTTCAAATCGAATCTGAATCGACAATTCGGTCTCGTTCCGATGTTTCTCCGTGTTCACGGCAGCCGTAAAACGTTAGCGTTTCCCGTTTTCCGGGATCGAACCGTTTGGAATCGTTTTCTCTTCCGGTCCGGAAACGTCTGTGTGTACATAGGATCGCGATAGCGCATGGTATTTTTATAAAAATTCTCTCTGGAACGACGCAACCGTAGACGCGAGGTATTATATAGCGTTCTCCGTTCTCCGCCAAGTTTTCTTTCGCCCGGATTTGTTTCGTTCTTTCTTTCCTCCCCCGATTCCTTTTTTTCCCCCTATATTTTAATCATCCAATCGTTTGTAACGTATCGTGTACGCTTAGCAGCGTTAGTTTAATTTCTACTTTTAAAACACGGAAGCGTCGCGCACGCTTCTGACTACGGAGATGGATGCTTACCGGTGCTGTATTAAACAATTCGTGGAACGGTCGCTGTTTCCCGAGGACCCAGTTCGCCATGATTAGTATACATACGAGTAGGCTATAAAATATAATAGATCGTAGAGAGGTCATGACACCTTTCCGTGTGTATGTGTGCGTGTACGGATTTCAGTTCCCTCTGAGGCGACGATCACGCGAAGCGGAACGAAAGACGTCGCGAAATCCGATTTTGGAAAAACAACTCCGCGTCGGTATGATTAGGTTCGCTCTTGCCCTTCAGTTTGTACATAAACGTTCGTATTGTTGACACGTTCGCGACGCGTTTAAAGCCCTCGTGAGCTTTTCTTCTGCACGCGATTAAGGTAAGTGCACCGAATTTCGACAATAGTCTATCGACCCTTTCAATTTATTTCTCTAATATGACTATTATAAAGTTGATAAAAGCATTGTGTTTACTTTAGTGAATCGTATATTCTATACCTTAAGTTTTTCGATATTCATAATATTTTAATCGTTAATTTAGATACGACATGAAATTAGGATCCTAAGAATTGAGTTTTGTCATTATTTATAATTTTGTGCTAATTTTATGAGTATGTAATATGTCATCGATTATAAATTAATTTACTATTCGAATGAACAATGCCCCCCATCAAAAGTTGTTCCACAGTCGTTGATCAAGATTAAAAGAGTACATTTCGAGATGCAGAACACGTGAATAAATTAATGCATTGTGTTGAAAACGTAACGCACTCCTGGAATTTGTTAATTAGAATTTCAGAGAAATTATTCCAACATAAAATGCTTCCACAGCCCTCACTCCTTTCGTTGTCGTATGTGAGTAAATTTTTGGAAAGCAATCATAGTGTTTCTCGTTAGACCATCACCAGTGGTAAAACATTCGTGATTTGAGAATTTAAATATCACATAATCTTATGATTGTAACAAAACAAAACCAGATGTCGTTTATAATCTCATAAAATTACCATCCTATACTATAATGCAGGCAAAAAGTAATAAACAACTCGAACCATTATTCAAAGGGACGATTGTAAAAAAAACTCTGTGTCGATAATTGGAACATTAACCTTCATCTCGAAGAAAAAGAGCTTCTACTACTAGAGCCGGACTTAACGCGCGCGAACGATTGATTATTCTTGTACAGAGTTTTTGGAACGCCGTGCTCGACGATTTTCTGTTCTGTATCTATCGCGTCGACGGCACACAAAGGTACACTGTCAGATAGTAAGAGAAAAAGCGTGCGAGGGAGAGAGTGCTTGGTACAAGGAAGGTGCGCGAGGAGAGAATGCGAAGATATATTATACGAGAGAAAAGAAAGCGAAACCGTAGGTGCGTAAGGTTAATACAATAATCGGTAACTTAATCCTCAAATATGTACTTATTATGAGCTTCAACAAGTATTGAATAGTATTACGTCGTAAGGTTAAGACTTGATTTTCAAGCTGCAGCAAGACGAACCGTGAGGCCAGCCCGTGTCCCAGACAGAGATGGGAAAAAGCATCGTCTAGATACAAAATATCGAATAACGAATAAAACGTGAACATCTCCATTTGTTATTCGTTTAATACAAATTACAATCAAAATATGCTTCGCGTTGAACGAGTAAAAACTTACTCAACACTTATTCTATCGAATGAACCTTGCGTATAATCATTGCATAATTTTCATTCGTTATTCATTATCATTGGAATCGAATTCTGCCCATCTCTGGTTCAAGACTAATGCGAATCGACGATTCAGAGGTTCGTCTTCGAGCTCGTCGAATACACTTTCCTTCTTGGTTTATCGGGCAATCTTGTCGTCGACGGTACGCGATCCTCGCGCAGTTGAGATGGGCAAACTTTCTATCTAGATACAAATTTCGAATAACGGTTAAAATATAAACAGTTTATCCGTTATTTGTTACAAAAAAACCTCCAATCGAAATTACATATTGAAATTTCAATATTTTACATTGAACGAAGGAAAAACTTGTTTCAATAACTGTTCAATGGGATAAATCTGTGTATAATGTTTTTCTTTGTAGTTTGTTATTCGAATGAAATTTTGCCCATCCCTGGCCAGCAGCGGGAAAGCTACTCGTCGTACGAGAATATTCCAGAGTAATCGACGCGACGAGCGGCTGTAGAGAAAAACGGGGATGTTAGGTAGCGAGCAACGATGAGAGAATGAGAAAAATTGTACGACTACTGAGTGTCCCGACGAAAAACGATACGTAAGAAATAGCAGTTGCCTATCTATCGTACGTCTGAAGAAAGTTATTAAAGAGAACAAAAAAAGTGAAGAGTGAACGGGCGAATATTACAGAGATGAAAAGGACAAAGACACAGAGGAACATTAAGGTAATAATGATCTTTGGCCAGGAGTCTCTCGTGTAGGCGTCGATGGCCAGGGCGAGGAAACGGACAACAGAGAGATCGATAAATAATTTCGTGACGATGCTAATTAAGTAATAAAGAGGATCTCAAAATGTCCACGTACTCGATTCTCGTTCTCGACGAATGCACGTTTAGCCTCTCGATGATAGAGTCGGCGTGATCACGGAAAGCAATCTAAGATGAACCTAACGTTGTTAGATATATTATTTGTAAGATTATCGGAGTACTGTATATTGCGTGAACACGATCGCAGCAGTGGGAGCGCGAAAGGAGGGAACAGGAGAATCTGACGAGGTGAAGGAATGTTTATTCGTCGAAAAAGAACGATCGAGTATTCTATGGAGAAAGAGAGATTCGTTGGAGTAACATTGGATCAGACGTTACTATGAGCATTTGCGAAAGAAAACTACTCGACTCTGTCCAGTTTCTACTCACTCGTACCACATTTCTCTTAATCGGGAATTGTTCTTTCTTTTTCCCTACAATACCACTGCAAATCGTGATGCAAATAAGTCTGGAAACGGCTCGGGGACCATCGAGTTTGAGGAACTTGGATCGATCGGATCCCGCTGCGACGATCGTGCGATCGAGATAGGTTATAGCTCGATTTAGTGTACGCTGTACGAAAAGAACGTCATTACGACGACAGTTACTTAAGGTAATAAGAGAAAAGGGAGTGGAGAAACAGCGAGAAAGAGATGCCCTAAATAAAAACACTTAAACTACGATGACTTATTACTACAGATACGAGGAGAAAGAGTAGGATAGCCGATAACGACTAATTCAAATATATCATTAGGACTAGCCGACGACTGTCTTAGGTTCTCTAGATTTCTGTACGAAATCGGTTTTTATTTTCTGGTATAACGTGGGTGGGAAGGGGTGATCTACCGGAACCGACTTTTTACGTGCTTCTTATACATACTATATATATATATATATATATATATATACCTCTCTGTCACCTTTTTCGCGAAATAATTGCAACACGGCCACGCTTCTGTCCGACCTTTTTGTTTTAATTTCACGTGCCTCGTCATCTTCTACTACTTCTGCCGCCCGCCGTTTGTCTTCTTGCGTCGTTTCCCTTTTAATATCGTTTCGACGGCAATCCCCCATCGACCGTAACAGAGAAATTCCGAGAGTAAGCGAGATAGAGAGTGAGAGAAAGAAAAAGAGAGTCCTGCGTAAGATTAATCGTTTCGTATCCACGGAATTCATTTCTCATTATCACCGTTATTATTATCACTGTCGTCATTGTCATCGAGTTATATTCTCTACTTTTTGTTTTCCTCATCTTTTGTACTTTTTATTTGTATTGTGCTCTCCCTCTCGACTGCAGCGATCAAGGGTAGAATTTAGGGTCGGACGAAAGTACACCGTGAATCCGAGGTTCTTTGTTCGTTTTACGTTGGAGGAATTTTTTATCTTTAATCGACGACTTATAATTATCATTTTAGTATAACATATAATTGTATGTACTTTATTCAAGAACTTCAAATTCGCTCGAGAACTTTTTTTATATGGCGAACAAGTAACCGGATTAAGAAGTTAATTTTCGAGAGATAAAAGAAAATGCACCGTTGATGGATTCGATTTGTTTCCGTTTCGAAAAATTACGTTCGCTGGGTTTATCGAGAATATTTTGCGCGCGAATGCACGGAGGAATTTTACTGTTTGCTTTCCCAATTTTTCGACGGTAATGCGCGATTTATCGAATTTGTTGCCGCAAAAATATCGATCTTCGGGATTTTATCGGTTGACCGAGAAAGGAGAAAGGAAATCGGGGAATTTATCGGTAAAATTGTTTCGGTAATACCTATCCTGGATTCACGCTGCACTTGCTCCGCTGATGAAAAATTCACACGTATCTACGCGTACGCGCGATTATCATCGTTGAACACACGACTGTAGACAATTTTTTTAGTTCGAACAACTTCGTACGGTAAGAGACCCTTTAGATATTCACCTAACACCTAAACCTAAACATCCAATCGCTATTTTTATCAAAAAAAAAAAAAAAAAACATGTTAAAAATCTTTAATAGTTATCCATTGTTCACTATTGCTATAATAAAGTTTTGCTTTAATAAACGATGGATTCGTATGTGTTATTTATTTATATTCCTAAATATCCTCGAACATTTTCTTTGATCAAAAGTCTTATTTTCTTCGAGTTACGAGAAGGTATCAGCCGGAGGTAAGTGTAAATTACTTTTAAATAGTATTCTATTTTAAAAAGTATGGAAAATTTCAATTTGTGACACAAACTGTATCAAAGCCAGATTAACGTTTATTATTAACGACTTCGCTGTGACGCACAGTATGATATTTCAGCGATCTAGCGGGACAAACGATAATTTCCGAAATGTTTCAAGTGTGTTTATGGATATTATAAATCAATAATAGAATGTCCTTTTCCTTATTCCATAAAATAAGGTATACTTAATTATTAATAGAGTCTGAACCTCGAGCACACAGTGAGTGTTTCATCCTATGGAGACGTATTCGCCTTGCTTCAAAATAAATCAAAATTACGTTCATATCGTTATTAAACGATGAAAATTCTGACACGTGTCGTTTGATAACGTAGGCCAATAGGGAATGAACAATTGAGTTTTGAAATGATAAAACTTTTTACAAGAACCGACAGAAAAATAAAACCAATCAGTTCGAATCCCGCAGATCGTCTTTCCCGGGTGCATGCAAACGACCATTCCTTAAATTAGCATGAACCAGAACCGAAGACGACGAAGAATCTTGCGCTTAACTGTCTCGAATTAATTTAGCTTCGAAAGCCACGGCAATGATTCGATTCCCGATAACAAGGTTGGGACTAACAATAAGAGAAAACCAGTCGGAGCAACGCACTCGAGACGTACGTTTCAACCTGCTCCGCTGCTCTGCTCGACCATTGCCCGATCAATAGAGCAACCTGAACTTCAGGCTATCCCTCGAGTTTGAATAATTACGTGCAACTACTAACTCTGGGGGAGTTATGCATCCAGTCTATAGACCGCTCTCCTCCCCAGCACCGTTACTGAACTTACGTCGTCGCGGTCGCTCTTTTACGGTTCCGTTGCTACGTCATTGTCGTTGCGACGGGTCAAGAGCTATATCAGTCACGACGTCATCGTAGAAGACCTTTGACGCGCTTTTGCTATCACCGCGTCACGTGCATCGAACATCGACTTCCGTGGTGACACGTTTGTAACTCGATAGCTTCCATCGCACGTCTCTAAACGGAAGTGCATGCACCGGTATGTCCACTTGACGGAAAGGTCATGAGAAAACGCATCTGATGCACCTTACAAAATGTGAATATACTTGCTGATGGAAATTGGCGAAACTTTACGCTAACTCAGCTCTTTCGTCAGTCTTCGTTGGGATTGAACGATTTGCTATTCTCTTAGCTCGTAATACCAACAATAATATAATATACAATAAACGTCATTTTATATAAGAAACTTTATTTCATATTTACTGAAAAATGATTCGATAGACAGATCGCTATGATTTTGCCATTTACTAGTGTTTAGATTGCAGTGGCTACGATCTGAATTTTGCTTTAAGCGGTATAGATTTATAACTTTTAAACAAACTCCGTCTATGTTACTAATGTTTCTTTTCGTTTCACTTATTTTACAATATTTGCCATTGGATGTAGAATATAAGAAAGATTACAGAGAAAATGAAGCATGAAAATAAGATAAAATAAGGGAAAAGAAAAAGTATACAAAGAGAAGAAAAAAAAACAAGTTTGGGTACACAAAGAAAGGATGTTACAAATTATTGGGCTGTGCTGAATGTTTGTTCCAATTTTTAAGAAAAATTCAAAGGCATAATTGAATTGCGATATATATTATATTAAATAACATAGGTAACATTCTGTTTTGCTACCTTTCTACCTTTTAAAAAATGTACGCGTGTTATTTGTTTTCAATCATTTTCAATCTACCAAAAATCGAACATGGACTTTCCAGACAACCCAATACACACTGCAGAGGGCATCGCATTTAAATTGTAGGATATGAATCCCAAGAAAAAGTGTCAGGTTTTGTAATAACACTAAGCAACTTTACATGCCATAAATGGTTTAACGAGAGTTTTGTATAGTCAAAATTCTTATCGATGGAAACGATTCTGACCAAATCCTTTAAACTCGCAACAGTACACGATCTCTATCTCTCAAACAGAAGTGTAAAAGTAACGGTCGAGCCCGCCGCAATTCACAGTTGGAAAAGTGATATCGAGTGGCCAATATTTTTTTACCCCTGGTATCGTCACACAAGAGTAAGTTGGTACGCGACGGGGAAAAAAGCGAAACCCCCTTTCCAATGTGCTATGAATGCGCAACGTTATCGAGTGCTGTGATGCGATCCTCTGCCGAGGAAAATTGCCGCCCTTAATTAATTCATCGAGGCACGCTGTCGATTTTTATTAACGATCGTCGGTTCACGTTGGATTGGACGGTTCCAGTCGTTCGGCGAGATCAAATTTTAATGACGTGGAACTCGCTTAAGCGCAGCTGCGTTTGCGTTCGATTTTTCGATGCGCCAAACGATGAACCTATCGAGCCGGTCCATTAAGATAAATGATTTCAGTGTCTGTAAATTGATTGAAGCATCACGTGCGCGTTTGTCTTTGAATAATAGCAAAAAATTTTATGTCGATATAGTGGACCGAAATATCGTGAATTGCTTTATGAGAGAAGACTATGATCACGAGGCGACAAAGCGGAACATGATTGAATTCAAATTATTTTGATAGTTCGCTTAAGGTGAGAGCTATCTGTCAATGTATCAAATAGGGGTGAATGGGTTTTTGGAATTGATATTAATCTTTTTTGTAGGCGCTTCGAGAGGTTTAACTCGTTTAAACTCTAAATCAGGGGTCGACTAACTACGGTCGACTTTAGTCTACGACTAAATACTACTTAATATTACAGATAATTAATTAATTACACGTGCAGAATTACAACTGAACATGCAAAAAATTGTAAAAAGTCAATTTTTTTTATTTCCAAATTAAGTAGATGCTTAAAACGCATATTCTCTATGAAAAATATGTATCATTAAAAGCATGAAATCTACTTGATATCTGACGGTTACATTTACGGCTGCTTTATCGTAAATCCCATTGCACCAGCATCTTTGTGAATATTTGAATGATTTTAAACCACATAAATGCCGATAAAATCTCTGGAACGATTCGAGCCTTTGTAACGTTGCTACGATGTGATCAAATATTATAAACTGCGACCGTTCTATTTGTAGTCGTTCGTGTACGATACGCGTGTAACGCGAATGCTGTTTAACGTTCGTTCCACGGAATCGTATATTGCGCTATCACTGACAAAATTCATCTATAATTTACGCGTTCTAAAAAGCTATATCGGGGATTGGACTCATGTTTTATTGCAATGAGTTTTCTAATATTTTAAGTTAGACAAATGGAAATTGAATTTTATACGAACATAGTGTACAATAGAGTTAAATACTTGAGTGTAGAACAGTATTAAGCCCTCGATCGAAAGTTATTGAAGTCTTATACGTGCTTATTATAAACTCCTGTCGCGAGACAAACTGTTGATATATTGCCCTGTTTTTCTATTAAAGTATTCGATAGTTCAGAGAAGTGTGTTTACAAATTTTTCACGTTTACATTCTTTGTCATTACTCTTTAACTTCTTACATTACATTCCTTTACATGTAAACATTACATTACATTCATTTA